AATAAGTTTGGTATCGCATTAAAGATTATTATACATTAGTTAATTTCTTAATTTAAAAGTAAATATTAAAACAATATTTTTGAATATCAATGTGTGTGTGTGTTGAATACAGTTTTGGTTCAAATTATGTTTCTGATGTCTAAATACAAAGTCTGTAGTTTCTTACAAAATAGAAACTAAAATTATCAATATTGACAACCTAAAATATAAAATGAGAGCCTCCTATCTTTTCTATTTGCTGAGATATTACTTCATTTGGTGAATCAAACAAAGTAGCCTCACTCACCTCTTTCCATTTTTGGAAGTACTTGATTATGTACACCTACTTCTGTCTGTGATATGTGAATAACCAATTGAAAGCTCAGAATTGCCCCCCTCATTGTTTTCTCAGTCTATAGAAGGTAGGAAATTCCCTAGATTATATTTTGTCTTGTTTTGCCAAAGGTGAAACAATATTTTTTTTTACTCAAATACAATTTAGTTCGTAAGCCTGATAAAGTACAGTGGAGTTCTGTAATATTGATTGAGTAATTTATAATATTTGGTTATTTCAAAATGAATATATATATAAATCTAAAAAAATTTTGTTTTACATCCTCCACTTGCAAAATTTGACAAGGCTTAGCAAATTAGGGCAAGTGGGCAAACGAGTACAAAGACTGTAAGTAGAAAAAATCATTGTTTTCTATATTTCTTTATTTACTGTTTTATGTTTTAAGAAAAATAACTGAAATTTAAGAACTTATTTGTAAATAGTAATAATATGTATGCATGTGTAATGTATTATAACCAAAATGTGACTATATTTTACAAAATACTGGTTTGCTGGAACAAACTGAAGGCCAGTTTTATGTTATTGGATATGGTAACATGACTGCACGTGTGCTGCATCATTGCAACTTCTGAAATGTTAGTTAGACATGGCTGAAAGATCAATGAATAAAAAAGTATATGTATGTATATATATATATATATATATATATATAGATGTATAATGTTATGAGATTTAACCTACTTAGATTGAACATTTGTAGTTTCTTGATATACTTTTTAACCATTCTTGAATGAAAAAAACATAATTTATATCTATTTCCTAATTTTTTATGTTGGTTACGAGATCGGTCAAATTGACCAAACCCATACAGAGATAAAATAGTGAAAATAACAGATGAAATATAAAGTTTTTTCTAAAAAACATTTGTTAATTATCTGGAGGCTATAAAGATTTCACATGTGAAATTTGACAATTTTCTGAAATATAAATGTATTTTTAATCATAAAATCAAAATTACTTTGCATGTTAAATAGTCAGAGATTGAAAAGAAAAAATGCATGAGCAAATCTCTACTTCAAAAATCTGAAACTTAATAAAATTGATTTTTTATGCACTAAAGCCTTGTAAAGTTTACTGATAATTGCAAAATTTTGTTAAGATATGCTTCCTGTATTAAAAGTTATAGTTTGAAAACTGTAACAAACACAAAATGATTATGAGGTCAGTCCCTGTGACCAAGCCTGTAGTGAGAGAGTCTATGGTGTGTGCTGCCAGCCAGTTGTCATCCCTCTAGTCAGCAGTTCAAAATTAATGGCAGATAACTTTAGTAGCTTTGCCATAAAGACAGGACAAGCAAATTTGGTGGCACTGAAAATTGAGCTGTAGACCCAAATCACAAGTCTATGCTAGCCCAAAGCTGAGAAAACTTATAATGCTAAAATAGGGTTTTTATACCCCTAGTAAACAGAGTAAAGATAGCTCATTATGTAGCTTTGTACTGAGTAATAAACAAATATACTGGCAATATCTGGCTTATTTTGGAGTTTTTGTTCCTTCTTCACCCCCATTCTGTGTTAAATCACACAAAAACTACTGTATAAGCTAACATTAGCAATCAGGGATGTATTTTTTCATGTAACCATTGTTTTGCTGCAATTTCTCTATTTCTTTGACTTCATTTTCAATATTTTCACCTTCAACCCTTTCAGGTTTCCTGTGTAAAGAAAAGTTTTGCCGATTCTTACTCAATGCCATCTACTTCCCACAGAGTGGACTCTTCATCTTTTTGATTCATTAGTGGTTTTGTGAATGTCTGGCTCATCTGGTGGTCTATGTCTTCACTACTTTGCTCTCAATAGACATCTTCCACTTTAATAGTCTGTTACAGGTCCAAATTTCTGACAGTGGATGCCCTTTGTTAATCCTGAGAAAACCTGTTATTTATTTCTACCCTCCGTTCAACCTTCTTCTTCTTCCGGTCTTAACCAAGTACAGTTACTCAAAGTTCCAGGTTCTCCTCATTGTTTCACTTTAGCTTGCTCAATCTTGGTTTCCATTATTACATCTACTTTCTCATCAAGGAACAGTCACAATACCATCATAGAATCATCTTTTATGACAATGTTTAATGTCCATTTTTTTAACAATAACATTTTGTATTTATGACTTCACAGCTGACAGTTGTTTATTCCATTGTTTGAGAAACAGATTCCCCTCATGGGGCGAACTCAGTGTTAGTCTATTCTTGAAAACACTTCTCCAGCTGAAGATCTTGACAGTCCATTCCAGAAAAAAAAAAGTTAAATTTACTTAATATATGTTTTTTTCCAAAGGATTTTTGAAGATCACAATGAAAAAAAATTAGTTGAAAATATAGATATATATTTTATGCAGTGTACATATAAATATTTATTGTTTTAATTTTTATTTAATTTAGCCACTTGACTTTTTGCAAGCAACTTATATATATTTAGTTTACAGTGTTAAGGATACATTATATTTTAAAATACCAAACAACTGATTAAATCCCATTAAATTTAACTGGTTGTTTAGTATTTTAAAATATATTGTTTTTTTAACACTATTAACTACTTGGAAATTTAACAAATGAACAAAAGCTTACCAGACTGCAGCTTATAAATAGAAACAGATAACATACAATATTTCTTTAGCTGAATGGGATTATTGGAAATCAGTCTGTAAAACAATGTGATCTTTGGCATGTATCTTATGCCATGTTGAAAACTATTGAATTTTCAAAAGTGACAGATAATATTGATTAGACTTGTATGTAAATTTCTTAAATTTTCAGTGTCAAGTTAGCATATTGTTCTTGATTTTTGTACTTCTGTCAGAATGAAAAATTCCTTAAGAACTCAAAAAACATATAAAAATGGTAAACTTTGGTTTTAGTTTTGGATCTTAAGAAAAGTTCTAAATTGCATGGTATAGATAATTAATCAAAAGCACCAAACCATATAATTACATCAGAACTATGATGTTCTTTTGTATATTAGTCTAGATTGCAACAGTTAAAATTAATAATTTAAAAATGAGCATTTATAAGAGATTAGTTAATATAGTATAGGAATATTCAACCAATGGTGTGGCAAAATTTACTATAAGTGCAATATATTTGTAGCATTAGTTCAGTAATATTCAGAAATATTTTAAAATGTTTCAAGTGGAGCTGGGCAGTTAGTGGTATGTGCTAATTGATTAACCCTAAAGGTGTACCTGTCTTTGTATGGCAACCCTATATAATGCAGTTTGAATTTTCTTCTAGAAATGCAAATCAAGTGCACAAAATCAATTGACAAAGCATAATCTGCACAGATAGCAATCTCAGCCATAAATTTGTATTCAACATGGTGTATGTTGCAATGAAAAACATAATAATATTTACAGTTGAAAATTGTTTAATTTTTATGAGAAAACAGACCCAAAATGGCATAAAATTGCACAAAGATATTTACAATATAGTGTGTGGTCTACACGGATACTATCATCACCACTGTTTTAATGATTCACTAAAACATAATTTCTTGCTAAATGATTTATATATATATCTACGTTTTTATTCAGCAAATAATAATTTAATAAGTTGTGTGTTTCAGAAGACTACCTTAAATTTAGGTTATAATTGTTCTAGTTTTGATTGTTGGAATTTATTTCATTCCAATTATATTTGCCCCATAAAATCACAAATTTTTTTTTCTTGCTTGTACATATTTTAGCTTGAAGAACAGATACCATCATCATCATCACAACTTTCACATATTTGTAATTGGAACCAGTTATTATAAATAACTCTTTTAAACTAAATACCATTACATAACGTGGGTGCTACAAAACAGTTGTCTTCTTTCTATTCAGCAGTTCAAAATTAACCCATTATGTAGCTTTGTGCTTAACAACTAACAAATATAATAGCAATATTTTGAGTAGCTTTACTTTCAAGAAAAACAAAATCTTTAGATACTTGAGAACAAAAACTGAGCTTAACTAAGCTTCTTTTTTCAAAACATTTGCTTTCTGTCAAAAATATGGTTAATTAGTCATGCATTATATTGGTATTTTATGTGTTTAAAGATTTTCAATCACTCAAAAAAACACATCCAGGAAATGGGCTTTATTTCAAATATTTGCTGTTGAAGGTGGAGAAGTAAGACTGCTTGAGAAAAAGATTTAGAGAGACTTTAAGTTATTAAAAACAACAACCTGGATGCAGCTCTTATTTCACTGTTCATTTTTACTGTTTTAAACTAAATATAGGGGATTTTGTTATTAAAGTTTCTTTAATTGTATTTAATTTTGTTTTTCCTCTTAACTAAATGCTAAAACGATTTCCTTTGGGATTATAAATAGACATTAGATTAACTTTTAAATAATATATTTTTCAGTTTTCTGATTCATGTGTAAAATTTCTCTGAGGAAGCTCATCTGTTCTCCTTTTTCTCTGATGCTCAAATCCAATTCTGTTAAGATGTTTTTTATGGTTTTCACTGAGAAATGAAAGAACAGTTTATTTATAGCTCATTTTAGAGATACAGTACTTTAATAGAGAAGTAAAAAAGACAATTTAAGATGGTCAGTTGTATTTCTTTATTACTGGTTGAGCCGTGTTAGTTTTTTTTTATATTATGTGCATGTCTGTTTACATATAACTCAACCAAATTACAATTTAAAATGTGTTGATTGATAGTTATTTATTGTGTGTTTACAGCTTCGGGTGGGGAGGAACAGGATCTAGCTACTACTGTGTTGACTTGTGAAGGAGACTTGGAAGATCCTGCTTTCTCATACCGATTATGTCTCCTAGTAAGCAAATTGCAGACTCTTATTTCAGATGGTATGTGAACAATTCAAAATTGTTATGCAACATTTAAAAATTATTCTGTTATTGCTTTAACCCTTTCGATATGGGTCACAGATGAAAGGCCATGTCATCTCGTTT